ACTTGATGTGGCGGAGTGCTTGGAAATGAGAATTGGAAATGGAATTACTGGAAAGGAATTTATTACATGATTTGAAAATATAGAGATTTCTTGTTAGTTTAAAATTATTATTTGAAACGTGGAATTGTAGCATTTATGAAATAACCAAGGTTACATATTTCGATAAGGCTGATGAAGTCGAAACATATTGGACTAGAACAAGTCTTATCAAGGTAATAGCATTCAAAGCCCCAGTAAAGCATTCAAAAACATATTGATGCATATGTGGATAATAATTCAATATTTCAGAGACAAAAACATGTACGATGCCCCTCCCTGATAAGCACTAGGTTCCAGTGTTTTTGTCGCCAGGTGAAAGATCTTTGATTTGCATATGTTTGTGACGGGTGATAGATTCATCTTTTGGCACAAGCTTGGTATTATCACTATCTCATAGTGCGTCATAACACATTAAGTACACGCTTATACTACGTACAGTAGGAATCTTACAATGGACTCTGCTTTTAAAAACTCAATGGTGCATATGTGGATAATTCCAAATTCTAGTGACCAAAAATAACTCCGATGCCATTCGCTGATTAGCACCATGTTCCTGTGTGTATTTGGCAAAAACTTGGTATTATTAGTACCTCACAGTGACTCACAACACAATAAACACATGGTCATACTACGTACTGTCGGAATCTTTAAATCTTAAAATGAACTCTAATTTTAGCTCGGATATCTTTTGAATAATGAAAGGGTATTGACGCATTTGTTTGTACCACTTGACATCGTGACAGTTTCACCAAGTTAGCTTTCCAAAAAACGAAATATAAAAATCGGTTTTGCTTCATATCTATGAGATAACACATTTTCCCGTTTTTATCACACAGAATGCTCTCCCTGTTGGTGAAGTTTCTTTATAGAAGATGCTTTGCAGCAGCTGACACTAATGAAACAAGTCAGCATGTCGCTGAAGACCTGCTACCTCTGCGGACTGACAAGGACGTTTTTGCTATTACAACCTGTCCGGGGGCATATCGCCGTTAATCACACAACATTATGTTGTAGTACTGCAATTATCCCGCCATACTGCAAGATACAAGATGGTCATCCCCGACCCTTGAGTACCCTTCTCATTGTCCATCTAGGAAATGCAGGTTTCTCGACAGCTGCTGCACTTCGCAGGCTGACTTCGCCACAATGGAAAATTGCGGATTTATCACACAATTACGATATCGTTAAAAAACCACAGGGACACGCGATGTCAATATGAGACGCCCGTTTCCTGTCTGACCCAAAAAATACTTGAAACCATGGTTACCAGAAAATGAAGTAGGAAATTAGAAAACTCTTAACGACAAAAGCCATAACTTTATCAGCTGCTAAAAGAAATAAGGAAACTCAAAATTGAAAAGGATATCTCTGGATAGGAAGTAGATTTTGAAAACCAGGCACAACATGAGGAAAAAGGAAAGTCATCCAGGGAAATTTGCCGGAATAATTTCTTATTTGTCTTCACCGGTGCGTTTTCAGCAGGTTGAACCTTTTGGTTGTCATACATTGGGTATAAATAAATACCTATCCAGAAAAGCTATTGCCAAAGCGACGATCAATACCTGGTATTTTGAGTATGATATCTTGCTCTTATTTTTGGTATACTGTGTGTTATTTCAGAGAGATGGATATTTTGAAAGTTACCTTAAATCTCGTTACTGTAGACTGCTGGCATGAGTTAAATGTAGCTGGTGATGGATTTAATGTTAATTCTGCCAGTATTGAATGAATGTGCCTCCTTTCCTCTTCAAGAACTGGCTGTTGATGTATGTGTCGGTGTGGATGGGGCTAATGGTATATTTCGTTATATCTCTCATCCTGGAGGTGTAAGTTTAGGTCCTGAGGGGAATCTGATGTAACACTGATGACGAGGATGGGGATCATTAAACAAATGCTGTGTTTCCGACTATTATCATTTGTCTCAGTGAATGATCGCACCAGATGTACACGTGCGTCTGTGAACCTGGAATCAGGTGCCATTCGCATCAGCGAGTAAAATGTTGCTTTGACTGCTGTTCTCGTTTGAGTGAATTAATTATATTGAATGCAACAGCCAGTGTTTCATTAGCGCCTTGTGAATGATTGAGATCGAAATCCAGGATATAATAGTGAGTAAAAGATTGAGCAATAACGTTACTTTTCAAAAGTACTTCTACAATTGCTTTTCAATGCTATGTAATTGAGGGACATTAATTGAATGACAGTTGAACGACAACAGCCAGTGCTTTTCATCAGCGCCAGGATGGTGAATGATTGAGTTACTGAACGAAATGCCTATGCAATTATATAATAGTGAGTACAAGTTGGAGATTGGGTTCGATCCCGCTTCAGTTTGATGGTTTAGTTCTAGACGTTTCAGCCCCAAACCCATCTTTGCGTGTTTCACCTGAGTAGTAAACGTGGCGGACCTGTACTACACCATGATGTCCTCCAACACGAAGCTAACAAAATGGTTATATAGATCGAATGTTGTTTGAAGTGGCGTTAAAATTCAATTCACTGACTCCCTAAATCTTAAATAGTCAAAGCATTCCACCAAGCCGCAATCCCTATATACCGTTAATTATCTAGGTAGTAACTCTAAATCTCTCGTTGACGCAATGATCACACACACCAAACCTGAACGTAAATATTATCTTAAGTCCTCACGATCACATTTCCTTATCCTTGTTGACACGAGCGAGAAATGAAGCTTATTTGTGAGCCACATATAAATAAATCATTTCGCTAATAAGCCAGTCTCCTCGGGGGAATAAACTTTAGACCCTTTTAAGCAATAGTTGTCGTGCCTTGCAATTTCTTAATTGAACGCACGCAGGAACTCGTTACAGGTGAACTGGAAAATAGTATCTAATAGATTGGCCTTGCCGACCTCATAGAAGATTCGTGACTATGCAATCGACCTAGAAACGAATCAACCGTCCCAACAGAGGCGGAGACACACAAGGCAGTATATCCAAGTCAAGGTTCTGATTAACGTTACTATTTAAAGTCGTTCGAATGTTTGCTTTACGCGTTGTCCACAAAATTGAAATGATACGACTGCAAGGAATGTGTCCGAGTGCTAGCAGCTTCAGTGAACCTTTCATAGGTTCAGGATGAGTGCAGTGACGCTTGATCCTTAAGGATTTCAGAGTTTGGCTGTTTCATGTCATACCTTTGGCTTGCAGATCCTGAAACATTTGGCATGGACCAGCAGCATAAAACCATAAAACTGAAACGTTACAAATCGATATTTGAGTCTCAACTTTAGATTTGAAATTAGCAGACTATCAGGTCTAGCAGGTTGAGCGCCTGCTCGGAGATTGGAAGGTCGGTGGTTTGACCTCGTCACACCAAAGAAGCATATGTGTTGTTAGCCTGTCTGGCGCACGGCATTGAGCAGATAACACATGGACTCTGCTCACTATACTTAGTGACTGAGTTTTTGACAATTCTGCAGAAGAGGTTGAGACAACTCTCTTTCAAATACCTTCGAGTGAGTATATGTCTGAGTGTAGCTGCAAGAATTAGATACATTCATCAGTGTATGTACCCTTGCTGGATGAAGGCATTGCCTATTGTACCAATATAGGAAACTTCACTGCTCTAAAACGCACGATGTTAATTTATAATTCCAATCGCAGAGTGTATTATAAGCGAGGGTGGGTTTTTGTGAGCATGCGAGCGAGCGTGTACATGTATATATATATGTATATGTGTCAACAAAGATGAAAAGCGAGTCATTTCGTAAGACAGAATTTAAAAATAATGTGAAAGAGGGCAATAGTATGGCAATTGTTCATGTCAAAGTCGCCATTCTCTCCGCTCAACCGTTTCGTTTCAGAACAGAAATAAATGGGTCTGTCCTTAACGCGTCAGGCAACATAGGCTAAAAGATTGTTCCTACACATCTGGAGTGGTTGCTTGATATCGCCGTGATATGTATACAAGAAAAGCATTAGAGGGGAACGTTCTGAAATCAGAGTGACACCTGTTTCTCATCACTGCCCAAGGTACAGGGTGGAATAGGAACAGGAAGGAACACATCCAGATGATGAGGAGAATAAAGAGACATGCATATACGATGTCATCATTATCAAAGCATGTTTGGAAATGTAACACTCTGGATAATTATTGGTGACTTATGTAGAGGCACCATGCTGATGTCCTGGTATATTTTAGTGTGTATCCTGTTTATTAAAACCTTTATACGCTTCTGATCATTATCTGATTAGCTACTGTTTGGATTTGTTTGATTTGAAGTGTCAACTTCAATTCGAAACTTCAACAAATCAATATCATTTTGTCGCCACCTTGTAAACTTTTCATATGTTTAACAATATTTGTGTACTTTGATTAACAGATTTAACCTGGAGCCTGATAATAATGTACACTTGCTACACACATTGTTCACATGTGCATGGCAGGTCCGTACTTCGTACAAAAACATAAATATGAGTGAGTGAGTGAGTGAGTGAGGTTTCAAACCACAAGAAGAAATTGGGTAACGGAGACAGCATTTCTTGTGGAGATGACGCAATCTCAAAGGGGTATATAAAACATGATTGGAGTTAACTGAAAACTTCAGACAAGTGAAATAAGAAGGAAAGGGAATTCTAGAGAAAATGAACACGCTTGAGGAGAAAATGACATCATGTTATGTCTACAACAAATGATTTTACTGTTATGCAACTGTCCTCATGGGCTTTTCAACTGCAACTGTACTCTTTTGGACTTTTCACAAAATAATTTCTAAAAGGGCATCACGCGCCATGCAATTAACCTATGCACTCTTATTCTCTTCACTCAAGCATTTCATCGTCGCTCTTCTGAAATCATTCTCTATCGTCTCACGGATATTTCTAAATTTCATATGATTTTGATATTAAGTAAACATAACACAAGTCACGTATTTTCATACCGTACTTTCACCATTTAACATCGTCTGTGCATTCACTGCAACGTTGACGATATTGACAGATTGTACCAACACTTTATTTGTCCATACATAAATACACAAGAAGGCAGCGTATACATACAGCAGTCACGTATCTGAAAAACAAAATATCATTCTGCCACCTACTGTGAACTGGCGATCGTTATGTCTCTTTAAAAATAGAGTTAAATGTAAATTGAACATTTCATCAATAATCTATGAAACAGTATGTTAAAATGGTATCTGTTAGCAACATATCTGCTTCAACAAAATGACATGTATTCTTTCATATGTTAGACGCATTTACCCACACTGGTAATTCGTTTACTGATTTATTTCTATAACATCCAGCATCGATCGTTAACATTAGGAAGACGTAAAGTTGCACTGGAAGGCATTGTATGTTGTCATCTTCCATCACAGAACATCGGAACACGCAAGTATATACCGTGGTGGTGATACAGATTGGCGTCTCTTTCGGCAAGTGTTACGACAACAAAGGTCATTCATTCCATTCATCCAGTGAATTCACTGTGCACAGATGCGTTCGTTATAGACCTATGATCGAGGGTTCAAATCCAGGTTCTCCCAGGTCTATTAGCACCATACAAGTGATCCAGGGTTTCAATAAAGTTGCAAACTCATTCGCCAAAGAAATAATGTCCTAAGGTGGAGACTCGTGAGGAGAACCTTGCAATAACATCACAACAGATTTTCATTTTACGCGTTTCTGACGAATGAATCATCAATTTGTTGGAGCCTCATATGTTATAGAATGAATGAGAAACATACCGCTACGCGAACATTAATGTGTTTTCTTGTGCAAATATAACTTGAACAATCAGTCGGCTTCTTTGCTTAAATATGTATATAAATAAGAATGTCTAATGGAACTTTGTTGAGGATGTGGAAGTACAGAAATGATATGGTGTGGTTACACCAAACCAGTAATGCCATATGAAACGTCATCTGGAGGTAATGGCTGATATGTCAGATGAATGTACAATAAACAGGGCAAATGGTAATTTCTGATATATTAGTGGAACCACCAAATATACCAGCATTACTATATACTCACCAATATGACAAATCTTGAAACAGTGGGTATGATTTTACGCCGCTTTTAACAATATTCCAGCAATATCACACCAGAAATGTGCGTCACTCATTGTATCCATGTGGGGAATCGTATCTGGACCTTCAGACGTTTTAACCGTTAGGCTACCCAACCGCCCCCAAGATCAAGTAACATGTTGTAATGCCTGGTATATTAATAGTAGATCCACTAAATATACCAGCAGTAATCTATCCTAACTCACATGCCAATCAAACGGAACAGATACTGTTTTTTAGCGGATTTTTAGAGGATGTTTAGTGGAGTATTACAGTAGCAGTATGGTCGGAGATGTGGGTACTGTTCTTGAACACATGCCGGATCAGATCCGTATCTGTTAATCCTACTTATTTCCTTTTCATTGATTATTATTTCACTGCTATTCAATGAATGCTTGAGGGTAACTTCAAAATGGCCATTCCCCGGCTCCGTCGTGAAGGTCACTTGATAAAAATCTTCATCTGTCTTAGTTCTCCCTGAAAGATCAGCTACACGGCCATCATAATCAGAACTTTTCTTAAACTTTAAAACATTGGAATTTGTTGAAATCTTTACAGACCTTGTCACGGTTCCTAACTTTAAAAATGCACATTGAACTCTTTGGCTCTCTGTGTAGGAATTAATATAGTCCACTGCGGCGGATGCAGCTTCTTTAACAACCGGATGTGAACTGTTTACTTCCTTCCATGCGAGGCATGCGCACCAGTGAGGCTCGATACCAGCGTGTGAACATGTCCGTTCTTTTGGAATTTCCTTGAACAAACTGATCCCTCTTTGAGCAATGTCACCTACACCTCCACCGGTGTAGTTTAATATATCATGGAATGTTTCATGTATATCAAAAGGTGTTGTTAATCTATTAGCATTTTTTCGTACATTTCGAACTATTTCTGGATATTGTTTTTCAAACCACGGGGGAAACCTGAAGGCAAAATAAGGCATACGTTCTTCTAACTTTCCTTGAGCCGTTGCTCGAACTTGTGAAAACCTGGCCCCATGGTCACTCATTAATATGAGAATGGTTCTATTCAAATAACCATTATTTTCCAAATATTCCAAAAACTTCTTGGTATCTTCGTCCACTACTTGGACCATATTGTTGTCGTCGTGGCTTGTCTCCGAATGGAAACCGAACATAAACTTCCTCTTTTTCCCATACATCATGTAAGCATCCTGAAACCATTTCACAAAATTCTGATGCCTAGGCACAGAACCAAGACACAACCTTTTGTTTCTTGCATACATTCGCTCAGCAGATAAATAGAAAGTTCTCATGCTGTGATCTGTTGGCTGGTGATCAAATCCCAACATGCGTAGCTGGAATGTCCCAATGAAGGCCATGTCCTCAGCCCACAGAGTCAAGTATCCATTTTCTCTAAGGTCCTTCCATATCCAGGGGTGGTTATCAACAGGTTTGGCTCCTGACTTCCCCCTTCTTGCCTCGGGAAGTTCCTCTTCCCTTTTGCCAGTCAATATTGGCAACAGCGCCTGAGGAGTTCCATCTCCCACTATGTTATAGCCATCTAATTCTATCCCATTTAACTGTTTCAGAAAATATTCCCGTGTCTGAGGCAATTTCCGTATCCATGTCATCCTAGAAAGTGAATCGAATCCAAACATCAAAACGTCCAGATCTAAGGCATTTTTAGACACTGGTTTTGTTTGCTCCGCCCAAGTGTGTAAGGTTTTGTTATATGCAATCCCTGAGTGTATGTTGAAGTATCTTTTCCCGTGAACAGAAACACACGCTACCTTGAAGAAGTCGGAGATCAATGGTGACCCATCGTGCATGGGTTTGATGTGGTCAGCATGGCGGGCTGAATAATCGTTTGGTCCCCGAACAATTGGGGCATATTCACATGTTATTTTCCCATACCTCCTCCTAGCACGCTTAGATATATGAAACGTTCCATTCACAACATACACCCAATCCTCATCCTTACCACAGTCTATTTTGGGCACTTCGTGGAAGAATCCAACAACTGAGGGGTGGAAGGGGTCAAGTTGAGGGTGGACACACATTTGACCAGACTGGCGACGTAGATTCTCGTGAAATAACACGAGATTTGCTACGTCGCTGTCAACCTCGATTTCATTCTCCTGGGGGAGAAGGAGAAACAGGATTGAAAGAAGAAAACAGAGCAGGACTAAAGATTTAAATCTCCGTCGTTTGAGACGATATAAAAAAGAAGGTAATACACTGTACTCCATTTTATCCTTCGAAACATGGGTACGTCTCTCCAGCATAAAATCTGTAAAATTGAAGGATGAAAATACTCGTTAATCCCTCTTCTTACACATCCTGTCGAAATCGAAATGGCACGTCAGGCACATTTCGGAAGTTTCACCACAAAATCCAATTTCGAAATCTGTCAATTCTAATTTGGGGTTATTTTTGAAACACACACCCTCATGCACATATTGATATTAAACGCTGTCTCGTCTCATCTAAGTAAAAAATTTCAATATGCAATTCTGAATTCTTCATTCGACTCTCCTTGAGAATTCAAAGCTCACAGTTGGAGTATATTAATCTTCCTATAGACCATGTAGTATATCCAGATCATTTTCTGATCTCGTCAGCGGGCTTCTCAATCGATGGGAAAAAGTCATTAGAGGCTGCGTATCAGGAACTTCCTCCAGGATATGGCACCGTAATTATGGTAAATATCGTCATGAAAACCCAGTCGAAGAATATTGGAAGTCCTTTTAAGGTCAACAATAGACATGCTTCAACGGCGGAACCAAATGTTCGATCACAAGCTGGTGACAAATGGGCAGAAAAGTTCCGGGGAAAAATGCTCCAATTTGAACGGCTGTAACCGTGGATTCAAAGTTTTCGTATTGATCCGAACCCTTCAAAATTCTGAAGTGTATTTAACACAAATACGCAGTAAATTTTCGTGATATTTTCCAAAGCTTCCAAACCAGTATTTTCAAAATAGCATCGTCTTTCCACAATCTAATTCCGTGCACAATCAGATTTCGATCGAAGTCTTGTAGCATTTGTTGGCAATACTGCCAAACATTGACGCTGTTTTGTAGATTGAGAAGATTCCACAGCAAGATGCTGATTTGTCTGTCTCGGCCCAGAATCTGAAACGATAAGAGGAACTCATGTTACAAAGACGACAAAAACGAATTAACCACCTGCAAATGAAAGAAGCTGCTTCCTTATATTTCCCATTGGTAGCCGGGCCTTCTTATCTGTTGAAGCAGTTTCGTATTGAACTAAACGTATGTGAAACACGGTCCACCAGCCAGTATACATGCACGTTTAGATACAATCAGGTGGGGATTGTATATGGACATACTCAGGACGCGTTTCATGAGATGCATATACGGCCATTTATAAAAATGTAAATATGTATACTTTAATGTACATCATGTAAATATGATCTGTTATATCCATTACTCGCCTCTTATTTAGTATGTATCATGGCTTTAGTGGAAGCTGACACTGGGGAAGGAGGTACTGTGTGCATTATATCACGTCATTTAGAAAAATATAATGAAAAACATTTTGTTTCACATCCATTCATTTGTGATAGCCATAGAGGTCTCAGGTCATGTATCCATACAAGTTTAGTCTTGATAACATAGGTTGTTTCTTACTATGTTCCTGAATACCACACTCAATACTTCACTTATATGACTGCGGAAAACCGACGGATGTGATACTGTACGATGTATACAGTAGTGGTGGTCCGATTAATTGAAATAATCGAAGATTGGTCGCAGTGGCCAAACGACCAAGCAATCGATCACATTTTCTCATAATCGAACACAAACGATTTTGGAACCGCTGTAATAGAGTTTGAAATACTTGATGATAGAACATATCTAGGACGTTGTCAGGGCCGGAAAACGTGTTTATTTCTAAGAAAACTCACTTCACTTTGTGAAAAGTCATGACTGAATATTTCTTGAAGAATCTGGGAAGTTTATGTTACACTGGAACTGAATCATTTTACACTGGATTTGAAATTCGCAAATGTAATTTGTGCAGTTTCAAAAAAACAACAACAGAGAACCAAATGTTTTTTCTTTATACTTATCTGCAACTACAACCTGAATAGGAAAATCTACAAAACGACGCGAACCAATTTTTTTTCGATGATTGGTCGTTGGTATTGAACCAATCATCAATTGTGAGATTTCAACCAATTCCCAACACTAGTATATAGTGCTGAAATTCAGTTTGTTGTTTTACGACATGGTAACTAACTTCATACACAGCGTCTCCTCTTACGTATCACCTCAGAACCAATAAATATTCATAGCTGATTATGTGAACTTCATCTTGCGCTTACTTATTGGATCCATATATGACCATAAACGTTTGTTGTATACAATTGCAAGAAAGTATAAGAAATATAAAAAATAGAAAACATATAATTTATTATATGTAATTATGATATTGCGAGTCGGCAACTTGTTGACCCTGGTGACATCAATGATTTGCTAATGTTGAGCAACATCACTGTGGCCGACAACATCACTGTGGCCGATGACGTTATCGTCAGCTCATCGACAATGCTGTGTGTGTGTATGAGAGAGAGAGGGGGAGAGAGAGTGAGAGGGGGAGGGAGAGAGAGAAAGAAAGAGAGAGCGAGATAGAAAATGCAGGAAACGTTTCACAGTTCATTAACTCCTCTGACGCATTCTGTAAGAACTCATTGTGTCTGCACTCGCTTTGTGTCATTACCATGACCCACACGAATACAATAATGGCTTTGTACGTTACATTAGGACCTACAGTTGACCAATATAGCTCATGTTCAAGAACTTAACTCATTCCATGAAATAAGGGTAGAATAATAAAGTAAATGAGCATTGCATTCCATGACACAGATGGTCAATATCCACACAAACCTGTCGTCTAATGCATTGACAGAAATAGCCACACGTCCTTCATAAAGTAAAAGCTGCAATATGGTGCACGGATACACTTTGAAAACCCTATCAATGTTACTTGGAATAGTCATTAGTTAGGAATACCTCAACAGAAGCGACCTCTTATTGACTCTTTCTACAGAGAGTATACGAATTCATTTAGATTTCGGAAAATCGATTATCGTTGAGTCCTAGATAATGGATATCTGCAAGATGACTAGACATTCCTGGCCGCCAGCGGTGGCCTGAGTAAAATAGTTTATGGTAGCCCATGGCAATGAATGAGTGAGTGAGATGCATTTTACCCATTGTCGAATGGTAATTCAGTTTTATAATGGCGTATCCGCTTGATGAAGAAAAATCCCCCAGTTTTAGACCTGCCAGGCCTTTTTAATATGTACGGTTCTAGGTCTGCAGTCATTTGGTTTTACGTATTGTGATAATCTGAACTATTTATAGTTTACTTTGCCCGAGACTCGAATACAAAATGGATTTTCGTCAAAAGTGCCAACCAACGTATTTCTCGTAAGAGTGCTTGTTTGTTTGTTGTTTTACGCCGCACTCAGTAATTTTCCAGCTGTATGACGGCGGTCTGCAAACACTGGACTTTGGACCAGGCAATCCAGTGATTGACATCACGCCACATACAGCAGTGTCCGAGATATATGACGGTGGTCTGTAAATAATCGAGTCTGGAACAGGCGATCAGGTGATTAACATCACAAGCATCGATCTACGCAACTGGGATACAATGACCTGCATCAACCAATTCAGCGAGGATGACCATCCGATCCCGTTAGTCGTCTCTTATCGCAAGTATGAGTTTCCTAAGACAATGCTGGTACGGATCATTACGGGTTTAAATGGTACTAAGTAGTGGTGGTCCGATTAATTGACATAATCGAAGATTGGTCGCAGTGACTAAACGACCAAGCAATCGATCATGTTTTCTCTTAATCGAACACAAACAATTCTGGAACACTTGTTATCATCAACAATATCTTTCACAAGGTTGGTTTTATCTATTACATTTCATAAGCACTACAAGCTTGTTCCAAGTCGTGATTGAATTCATCTTAAAGACACCAAGAAATTTATGTTCCTAACATACTAGTCATCCTTTAAAGATGTGAAATTTTGCCAAAAACACCCCAAAAATAACTACATGGTTTTTTTCCTTATTTTTTTGTGCATTAACAAATTTCATAAATGACGCTAACCAATTATTTTTGATGATTGATCGGTGGTAATGAACCATTCATCAATTATGAGATTTTAACCAATTCCCAACACTAGTACTAAGTCATTTTATCATAAATGAAATGAATGTATCATACCCCTAGGAGTAGCGTTAAGTCTGACCACTCGCGTTCACGTTCACCCTGCCACAATGGTACTGCCATATAACACTTCTATGACCATGGTATGACGTCTATCAACGTCTGACACCTAGCACTGATGGAACTATGCTTCTATTTCTCAACCTCGAAGACTTGGACCATCACACCCATAAATATCGAAGAGAACGCCAACTTCAACGCCTAAAAATAGCCTCTGGACGATTCCTCACACACAGATTGGACAAAGGCTAATACAGTGTCCTGTGCTGTGCCAAGGCTTGAGAATAAAGTACATTTCTGAGAATATGTACCTAGGGATGGACACGACCTGCTACAAAACTAAAGCCAAATTGCCGGATTCACTTAACTTCTACTACCTCAGTCCAAACAATGAACATGTGCTTCAGGTAATGTTCCTTCTGTCTCACGGTTCCGTCATGTGTCTTGCTGTATTTGACAAAGCTGTCCCCCCGATGTTGGTATTGCGACAGAACACGCTATGGTCTCTAATGAAAGCGTCTCTTCAAGGGGGTCTTTCACAACGGCTTCAATCAGAGTATTAAGTGCAAACCTAATACCCTTCCAAATCACGACAAGCAATTATCAAGTACAGATAGGGGGTCCGTCTTCAATCCAAACATCAAGAAAAAGATGTCTCTGATTTGATGGGAACTGATCGAAATACGCCTTGACCCGAGTGTTTTCCTGCTTTCCCAATCTGACCAACGTCGAGAACAGAGTTGGCATATTGGATGTGTGGTATGGATTTCTGTGTTGTAAAGACTAACAATGAAGGGATGGGGCACAGTAGATGCCCATTATTGCGTTGTATTAGGCATTAACAATGAGAGATGAGCAGTCACATGTCAGGCAGAGATTAGACCTGTGCTATTTTCGAACAAGACGTCAGTTCGGTCACATGTCAGACAGTTTGGACAAGTATTTGGCATTGACGGTAACCTGAGAGCGGGTACAGGGCAGCCATTGTATAAACAGATGTTTGGCATTTACCATAAACAGTAGAACGGACATAAGACAGAAATAATATGGACATACGTTTGGCATTAACCAAAAACAATACAGCGGACATAAGAGAGTATGGACAAATTTGGCATGAGCCGTTAACAGTAGAGCGGACATAAGACAGTATGGACAAATGAGTGGCATGAGCCGTTAACAGTAGAGCGGACATAAGAGAGTATGGACAAATGTGTGGCATGAGCCTTTAACAGTAGAGCGGACATAAGAGAGTATGGACAAATGTGTGGCATGAGCCGTTAACAGTAGAGCGGACATAAGAGAGTATGGACAAATGTGTGGCATGAGCCGTTAACAGTAGAGCGGACATAAGAGAGTATGGACAAATGTGTGGCATGAGCCGTTAACAGTAGAGCGGACATAAGAGAGTATGGACAAATGTGTGGCATGAGCCTTTAACAGTAGAGCGGACATAAGAGAGTATGGACAAATGTGTGGCATGAGCCGTTAACAGTAGAGCGGACATAAGAGAGTATGGACAAATGTGTGGCATGAGCCGTTAACAGTAGAGCGGACATGACAAAGATACAGAATAGACAAGTATTTCGAGTTAACCATAGACAATAGAGTGGGCATAATGCAGATATTTTATGGACAATATGTTTGGCGTTAACTGTAAACTGTAGAGCGGAAACAAGGCAGACATGGTACTGACAAATGTTTGGCATTAACCGTTAACGGTATAGCGGACAGAAGGCTTTATGATAGGCAAGGAGGACATCACCACAGCACCACAATCATAAAGGAATATTCTAAACAAATATATTTCGGAAACGTAATGTTCACGATGACATGATCTGATACATTTTGTTCAGTATGAGT